AGGTTGTTTTGTGTTTAGTTTTTTTTTTTTTAAAGGACACTGGATAACTTGTCATTTTTTAATACTCATCTGGATTGGTGGTTTACTCGTCAAAGCTTTTATAGACCATTTCACAAGATGTAAACAACACTGGTCCAGAAGCACTTCCTGTTTCAGTTTGTAACTGTTTTCTTTATTTCACATGTAAAGAAAACATCTTAAAGATGTTTGTTTAACTTTTTGATTCAGTTTTATATGTTCTGTTGGTTGTATTTTATCCCAGCTCTTATGTAGTGTTAAAAAAATGAAACAGGAAGTGCTTCTGGACCAGTGTTGTTTACATCTTGTGAAATGGTCTATAGTTTATAAGTTTATATGTGTCTCCCAGCCCTGCAAATCTGGTCCCTTAGATAGAAAGCAGCCAAAAACCCTTTAAAATCAGCAACTGACCAGTTAGACAGTCTATCTCAAACCAATAGACAATCTTAGACTAGTTTAAGCTGTTTTACCCCAGCAGGGAGTGGGTGGATGAGTTGTTATGAACTATCTTTCTAATAGATTGATCAGATAGCACCCCTTTAATCTTTTCTATTTTACCTGTTCATGATAATTTTTGCATGTATTTATGCATAATTGTTCATGATTGTCATGCATGATTTTTATTGTATTACATTACATTTTTATTATTAATGTATTTAATTGTATTAATGTATTTAAATGTATATTATGTAAATGTACTAATGTGTTTGAAAATACACAATAAACCTTGTGCAGTTAAAGCTTCAATTGTTCTTTTTTCTATTTCCCATTAACAGTTAAAATAATATTTCTACGGATTTTATACAGGTTACACAGTAGCACTATAAAATAAATACAATAACATTTCATACTATACAGTATTATTAAAAATTAACAGTGTAATTCTTGTACTTTAAGATGGTAAGAAATTACAGTAAAATAATGTTATTTAATTTGCAGTATGCTTAACAGTACTGTAGTTAGTGTTACGGTAATTTTACTGTTAAATGAAATACAGCAAGTACTGGATAATTGTTGCCAGTAAGTTACTGTTAATTTGACAAGAAATTTTTTACAGTGTACATTTAACACAACAAACCTGATACGGTTTTAAGAGTTTTTTAAGAGGAGAGAAAAATGCCCCTTGATTGTGAGATGGGCCACAGGACATCACAGCCAAAATAGCACAAATGATCGCAAAGATTCGCAATGAGTGCTATTTGTTTTTATATTAGACTTATATATATATATATATATATATATATATATATATATATATATATATATATATATATATATATACATTTGCACTAAAGTCCAAAAGTGAAGAATTTATGTTTATTTATGTTTGTTTTGTTTGGAATCTGGATCTGTTTTTTCGCTCTTCTTTATTCTTTTTTGTATATATTATAGAAGTATCGGATCGGGACTCGGTATCGGCAGATACTCAAAATCAAATGACTCGGACTCGGACTCGAGGGCAAAAAAACCTGATCAGGACATCTCTAGTCGCTATTTTATATAAAGACTCATTACAATTTACACAGTTATCATATGGAAGTATCATATACAAGCCACCAAGCTACCGTGCAGTTTTCTATGATAATCTCTCCGAATTGCTGTCTGTGATTTGTACCGATTTTGGCTGTGTGATTGTCACTGGTGATTTCAAAATTCATGTTGACAACCTTGAGGACAGAGAGACCAAGGAACCAGGCCCGGTTCTAGAACCAAATCACTGAGGGTGCTTTTAAAAATAGTGAGGGTGCTCAAATGTTAAACATGCGATATGCATGATCGAATATGTCCCTTTATGAGCTTTTGTCCTTTACAAAGAGTGCTTTTTCATCAAATAACAGCAGTATTGCAAATGTGTGAAGTAGGCTACTGACACTGATTTTATTCTGCAGTTGAATAAATTAGTTAATATAGGCCTAAGTAACGTACATTTGAGACATATAGTTTCTGACGACAATGAATCAGTCCTTTAAAACGAAATAGCTGATTTAAAGAATAAATGCTGGTCACTCGATGGCGTCGTAAAGATTCGGGACTAAGATATGTTTGAAGGTAAAATAATTATTTGTTGATGTGTTTGTTGTGTTCATTATACTAATGTGTACAACCAAAACTGGTAAAGGTTTAGTTTTGGCACATTTAAACATTTGTGGTATAAGGAACAAAATACATGACATTTTTAATTTAGTGCATAAGTATTCAATCAATATATTTGCCGTATCTGAGACACACCTCGACATTTCTATTCAAAACTCTGAATTAACAGTTCAAGGTTTTAATGTTTTTAGAAAGGATAGAAATAAATTTGGTGGTGGTGTGCCAATTTTTGTACAAAGCAATATTCCTTGTAGGTTTAAACAAAATTTAATTTGTCATGATATTGAAGCCATATGGGTAGAAATCCATGTACCTTATATGAAACCTGTGCTTGTGGGATGCTGTTATAGACCTCCTGATGCACACGTGGACTATCTAATATGTTTAGGTGAAATGCTTGATAATGTCTCTGATGTCAATTGTGAACTATACTTATTGGGAGATATGAACATTGATTAGAATGATGACAGATGCTCAAAGAAAAAGAAACTACTTTCCTATAAAAGTGTCTGTAATTTACATCAAATTATTAACATGCCAACAAGAATTTTTAGCAATAGGGTGGGCATTACTACAGCAACATGTATTGACCACATTTACACTAATGTACCAGAGATGTGTTCCAATGTTGTGTCAACACCAGTAGGGTTTAGTGACCATAATCTCATTGTTGTCACTAAGAAAGCTAAAGTCCCAAAAGCTAAAGCTATCTTTGGTACTTATAAAAGGTTTTATAAAGTATCAGCTATTGAAAAGATTGTGGAAAAAGTAAAAAAAAAAAAAAAAAGTTGATTGGAAAGATGTGTACAGTGGCCACAACCCTGAAGATTCTTTGGATGCTTTTATGAGTATGCTTTTGAGCACTGTTGATAAATATGCACCTATGAAAAAGATTATTGGAGGACAGATTAATTATTGTAAATTAAGGAACCAAGTTACTAAAATAAATAAAAGGAAAAAGAAAGTATCTAAAGAAAGTTCTGATTATTTTAATAACTATTTTATAAATAAAGTTAGTAATTTAAGGAAAGGTTTTAGAACACGAGATTTTAATTACTGTGATCATGGCTGATAAAATGTGTAATTTTAACTTTAATTGTGTGCAAACTGTAGAAGTGATGGCCCTGTTAAAGTCTCTTCCAACACATGGTAGTCCAGGCACAGACAATTTGGACAGCCTAGTATTGAATAAAACAGCTGAATATATTGCTGCTCTTTTGTGTCATATATTTAATCAGTGTATGGCGAGTGGGATTTATCCATCTCTGTGGAAGGAATTGAAAATTATTCCATTGATAAAAGACAATCGATTATCTTATAATGGGCATAACTGTAGGCCTATAAGTATTCTGCCTGCAATCAGTAAAGTTATGGAAATAATTATTCATACACAAATTTGTAATTATTTTCAGAATAATAATTTGATGACTATGTTTCAGCATGCATATACGTAGAAAGGCACATTCCACCTGTACAGCTCTCACAAAAATGAAAGATGGATGGCTTAGAAGTATGGATAATTCTTAATTAGTTGGTGTGGTTATGTTGGATTTCAGCGCTGCTTTTGATGTAATAGACCATAATAAATGAAATTGGAGATCTACGGCTTCTCTCCTTCTGCGGTTGCACTAATGAAAAGTTATCTTTCACATAGAACTCAGTGGGTTTTTTATCTTTATCTAATTACAAAGGTTTAGTTTGTGGTTTACCACAAGGAAGTTGTTTGGGTCCTCTTTTGTTTTCAGTCTTTATTAATGACTTGCCCTTAACTGTCAAAATATTGAGCACAAAATTATCCACATGCAACAGTGCATTCTTATGGATCTTCATTGTAGATCCATGACAATGCACTGTTGCTCTACATATATACAGGGATAAATATTTGCCCACCAAAAATTACTTTTATCATGGCGTTGAGCTATTCTGCTAATCATAATCTGATTTAAAGGTAGCTTTGTAAAATAGAAAAATATTTGAAAAGTATATAGTGTCTAGTGTCTATAGTATATAGTGTATTTATAGTGTCACTCTAAAAAATGCTGGGTTGTTTGAACCCAATTTTGGGTAAAATATGGACAAACCCAGCCATTGGGTTAAAATGTAATTTAAAAATGTAACCCAATGGCTGGGTTTGTCCATATTTTACCCAAAATTGGGTTCAAACAACCCAGCATTTTTTAGAGTGTATATAAGGTTAGTTTCTAGATAAAGGATCTAGGCCAAAATGAAACTGAACATTAAGATCAAATTAAGATTTTATGTACTACCATACTTTAAGAATAAAATGTTTTGAACATTCTTGATATTATTATTAATGAATATTCTTATTAATGGAGAGGTGATAGAGAGGACACTTTATTTTGGTAAATGGGTACAAAGGTAAACTGGTATTAAAAAAGAAAAACACAATGAGTCAAAAATATTGTCAACATTTGAACTTAACTTTTTTAAATACTATTTTATAATATACTTTGTCTGAAAATCAGTTAATGGAATCCATAAAACTTCTGATTACTATGGCACTTAATTTATATGGCAAATACAGAAATTACCATCAAAGTTAGACTCTAAAACCAGTGAAAAGTATTAAAAACAAACTAAAGACAAAACATAATGATAAACTTTACTGTTGCACTGTTGGATCCTAGTAATTTAAGGTTGAAGTTACCTCTAGTGCAGATCTCTGACCAAGCCAAATCCAAACATCATATAAATACACACACACACACACACACACACACACACACACACACACACACACACACACACATATATATATATATATATATATTTGTATGTGTAAAGTAACCAATTATGTCTCAGGTAAGTGCAAAAGAACAATATTTGCACGATCATGTAGGGCAGGCAGTTGAGTTCTATTTTTGAGGCAACCACATTTTTATCAGTAAGCTAAAAGGTCCAAGAGATCCATAAAAAATAGGCTAAAAATAGCAGGACATCTCTACATCAGTCCAATAAGAAGGCAGGTCTCTGGTAATCAAACAGGCTGAAATCTCCCTGGTAGTAAGCATAGAGGCGACGAACATCTCGTTGGCTGATTCCAGTAAAATAGCGTTCCACCTTGGTGTGATTGTAGTGAGTTATCCCTGGTGGGATATTGGGGTATGACACCAGGTCAGCAATACCAGCAGCTTTTAAAATATAAGGAGCATCAAATTCCAGAGTCTCATGGTGTCCCACGACATTGTAGGAAATATCACAAGGAGCACACAGCTCAGCATATGTCAGCCAGTGAATAATGTGGTCACCAAACTGCCTGTCCAAGTGTTGTCTTCCTGGCTTGTCACCTAAGTACCGAACAAAGTCTTCAAACTGAAGACCCACAGTTTCACCATCATCATCATGACTTTTGCGATATTTGCGAATGATGGCTGGGGCAATGTCATGTTTGTACCAGGGTTCAAATCTTGGGTTCTTCACAAACTTGTCCTTGAACGCAGATATGAGGCGCTCAAATGGGTCTCGGACAATAAAAAACTTGAAATAGGTATTCAATCTGTGAACCAAAAAATAAAGCAAGTTTAGTATAACTATGGGGGGCCGAACAGGAAATAATTAAATGTAATCCCGAATATATAGTTATAACTCTGAATATATAAATGTAACTCTGAATATATAAATGTAACTCTGAATATATAAATGTAATCCTGAATATATAAATGTAATCCTGAATATATAGTTATAACTCTGAATATATAAATGTAAATCCCGAATATATAAATGTAAATCCCGAATATATAAATGTAATCCTGAATATATAAATGTAAATCCCGAATATATAGTTATAACTCTGAATATATAAATGTAACTCTGAATATATAAATGTAACTCTGAATATATAAATGTAAATCCCGAATATATAAATGTAAATCCCGAATATATAAATGTAAATCCCGAATATATAAATGTAACTCTGAATATATAAATGTAATCCTGAATATATAAATGTAAATCCCGAATATATAAATATAACTCTGAATATATATAAATGTAATCCCGAATATATAAATGTAAATCCCGAATATATAAATGTAAATCCCGAATATATAAATGTAACTCTGAATATATAAATGTAATCCTGAATATATAAATGTAAATCCCGAATATATAAATGTAAATCCCGAATATATAAATGTAACTCTGAATATATAAATGTAATCCTGAATATATAAATGTAAATCCCGAATATATAAATATAACTCTGAATATATATAAATGTAATCCCGAATATATAAATGTAATCCCGAATATATAAATGTAAATCCCGAATATATAAATGTAAATCCCGAATATATAGTTATAACTCTGAATATATAAATGTAACTCTGAATATATAAATGTAATACTGAATATATAAATGTAAATCCCGAATATATAGTTATAACTCTGAATATATAAATGTAAATCCCGAATATATAAATGTAAATCCCGAATATATAAATGTAAATCCCGAATATATAGTTATAACTCTGAATATATAAATGTAACTCTGAATATATAAATGTAACACTGAATATATAAATGTAAATCCCGAATATATAGTTATAACTCTGAATATATAAATGTAAGTCCCGAATATATAAATGTAAATCCCGAATATATAAATGTAAATCCCGAATATATAGTTATAACTCTGAATATATAAATGTAACTCTGAATATATAAATGTAACACTGAATATATAAATGTAAATCCCGAATATATAGTTATAACTCTGAATATATAAATGTAAGTCCCGAATATATAGTTATAAATCTGAATATATAAATGTAAATCCAGAATATATAGTCAAAACTCTGAATATATAAATGTAAATCCTGAATATATAGTTATAACTCAGCATGTGAGCTCCTCTCAATATTCCGCTCTATGCCAATGTGCTCCACTCAATCGCTCACGGCCCAAGCGCTCAAATCCAGCTCCGACATGAAATCGTAATGTAGGCTACTGTACTATAGCCTTTGTTGATTTTTTTTAAGGTATTGTTGGGGGCTTTTAACTAAACAAACTTTTCTCTAACCCTGTACAATGAACGCATCAGCACGTTCTGATGGATTTTTCTTTAATGACAACGGAAGAAACTCCATAAAATTTTGGCCATACAGATTAGTGTGTAAGACAACTACATATGGTCTACTTTTATTTTGTGTACATTCACAATAACAACAACACCTTGTGCTTTTGTAAAATAAAGATCTGCCTTTGTTTCAACTGTCTCTGTATTCACGACAATCTTTTTGAAACTAATAAAGTTTAAAGAATGGCCTATTATCACACAAACATTGTGCTGAGGCCACCTATGCAAAATGGTAAAAGCCCCCAACAATGCCTTAAAAAAATAATCAACAAAGGCTATAGTACAGTAGCCTACGTTACACTGAGATTTCATGTCGGAGCTAGATTTGAGCGGTTGGGCCGTGAGCGATTGAGTGGAGCGCAATGCCATAGAGTGGAATTTTGAGCGGAGCTCACATGCTGAGTTATAACTATATATTCAGGATTTACATTTATATATTCAGACTTATAACTATATATTCAGGATTTACATTTATATATTCAGAGTTATAACTATATATTCAGGATTTACATTTACATATTCAGATTTATAACTATATATTCAGGATTTACATTTATATATTCAGAGTTATAACTATATATTCAGAGTTATAACTATATATTCAGGATTACATTTATATATTCAGATTTACATTTATATATTCAGAGTTATAACTACATATTCGGGATTTACATTTATATATTCCGAGTTATAACTATATATTCGGGATTTACATTTATATATTCAGATTTACATTTATATATTCCGAGTTATAACTATATATTCGGGATTTACATTTATATATTCAGATTTACATTTATATATTCCGAGTTATAACTATATATTCGGGATTTACATTTATATATTCAGATTTACATTTATATATTCCGAGTTATAACTATATATTCGGGATTTACATTTATATATTCAGATTTACATTTATATATATTCAGAGTTATAACTATATATATTCAGGATTACATTTATATATTCAGAGTTACATTTATATATTCGGGATTTACATTTATATATTCGGGATTTACATTTATATATTCGGGATTACATTTATATATATTCAGAGTTATATTTATATATTCGGGATTTACATTTATATATTCAGGATTACATTTATATATTCAGAGTTACATTTATATATTCGGGATTTACATTTATATATTCGGGATTTACATTTATATATTCAGGATTACATTTATATATATTCAGAGTTATATTTATATATTCGGGATTTACATTTATATATTCAGGATTACATTTATATATTCAGAGTTACATTTATATATTCGGGATTTACATTTATATATTCGGGATTTACATTTATATATTCGGGATTTACATTTATATATTCAGAGTTACATTTATATATTCAGAGTTACATTTATATATTCAGAGTTTATAACTATATATTCGGGATTTACATTTATATATTCAGGATTACATTTATATATTCGGGATTTACATTTATATATTCAGGATTACATTTATATATTCAGAGTTACATTTATATATTCAGAGTTACATTTATATATTCAGAGTTATAACTATATATTCGGGATTTACATTTATATATTCAGGATTACATTTATATATTCAGAGTTACATTTATATATTCAGAGTTATAACTATATATTCGGGATTACATTTAATTATTTCCTGTTCGGCCCCCCATATATAACAGTATCTTATCAGAAATGTAACAAACATGGCACAATATTACTTGCCATTAATTGTGAAAACAGCAATCTGTACAATTCTTAAATTATAAATAAGAGAGAATGTACTCACACCCCATTACCAGTGATGCGCGGGTTGATCCGAAATGAGCGGATGCCTGCGGTCACCCGCGGTTACCCGCAGTTACGGGTCATCCAAAAATGTTTTTAATGATATTCGGGTCGCGGTCGGTCGGGTCGTTTGAAAAAAGATGCCAATTAAACATTTGTATTAATATAGTACTAGACACAATTTTTGATGAAATATACAGCCCTACACATTATTGGCTGAATAACTGGCACGAAGATAACACACAAGCTCGATCAGTCGAAACAGTTCTCGGTTCTGTACTGGTGATTCGAGAACCGCTGTCCCTGTGCGCTCGGTATACGCAGTATCAGCTGCTCGTGCTCATCACTTCTCTCAAACAGTGGCACCAATCTCGGTTACTGGAGTAAAATATAATCCAGGATATTGATTTATTTCGATTCGTTGGCGACCGTCAGGCATGTCTGAAAGTGAGTAACTTTAGTAACTTGTGGATCAGCAGCACTGACGCAAGATGTGAACTGTTTCGAACGATTCAGTTCGATTTAGTGTACTGGTTCGACCGGTTCACTAAAAAGAGCCGGTTCAAAGAACGATTCGTTCACGAACCGGCCATGTCTATGATCACTACAGTCTGCACGGAGATGGAGGCGGCAAGAGAAAAGGTGAAGACTGGGGAGTGGAAGCTCCGCAAATACAAATAGAAAGAGTAAAAGTGTGGGAGACATTTGCTGAAATAATGAAAGCTGATGACCAAAGTGCTGGCTTTGTTATGTGTAGGCCGACGTCTTCTTGCGATGCCGTGTTGTTACACGTCTATGGCCCAATAACGCTCCGATGAGCATTTACTACTTTTAAAAAATGCGGTCAGGAAGCGGGTCGGGTACAATATTTTTTTACTTTTTTTTTTGCGGTCCGAGTTGCGGGCGGGTAGTTGAAAACGTCGGTCGGTTGCGGGTTGTTTATACATTGACCCGCGCATCACTGCCCATTACTCAATATTTTTGTTTTTTTATAATAATAAACTATGTATTAAAATGATGAAAACAGAATATATTAATATACAAATTTTACAGTTGTGTCCTGAGGGATGGACAAGTTCAATTAAAACATTGTTCAAACAAGTTCAAGTTTCATTAATTAAAACATTGTATGTAATATTTCAGAGCAATGCCCCATCTTCATGCAACATAAAAGTCAACCTTGATCATGAAGCTCCTCCTTCCATATTTCACCTGCTGAGTTCAAGAAGGTTACAGAGGTGAGGTTTACAGATGTTTGTCATTTTAAGTATACTTTTTCTGTTTAACAACAATAATATGCAAACTTTGTCACCGAAACCATTAACGTTTTTTTGTAATTATCCATTTGCTATGATTTTAAAGGTCCACTGAAGTGCCTTGGAATGCACAGCTTTGTATGATACATGGACATCATTTCCACTGAAAAAGGCAGCTAAGGTGGGACGTATTGAATGGATCTTCCCCTTTTTCAAATGAATAACCAATAGCGTTTAGTTTACCTCACAGACTGCAATCGTATTGACAGCACCATGGAGGCGAATCCGAGCATTGATGATACATTGGATTCAATAGTAGAAGTGTGAATAAATTCTAGCCATTTCATTCCTAGTCAATGTACAGTTGGGAATTAAAAAAAGAAAGAATAAAACTCGAGCAAACCAACTCACATCTCTAACCAGTGGTGTAATTTTGTTTTTAAAGTAGGTGGGACAAATGTGTGGGAAGGAGGAGGTTGCTATAGAATGCTAAGATATACTGTATATGTGTACAATAACAATCTTCGGAAAAAAAAAATAACATTACGATGTCCAGAAATCTATTTCAATAGTACATTGGGTTTAATTTGCCATTTAATAAAATCTTCCATGGGCTAGTGGGTGGCAGAACTTTTCTAATCCGTACTCATATAGGTTTTTTTTTTCTTTTCTCATCAGAACCCCTCATTTCTCACAGAAATGTTAATCAGTGGTTGTATATCAAGCAGGGACACGTTTCTGTACATTTTGTTTTGTGATTTCACCGGAACGAATAGAGAGTCTTCACAATGGCGATTGGAACGCATTTCCAAGTGAAGAAAATGTAGCATAAAAATATTTCTAGAAAAAAATTTTTAAAAATGAAAACTGAATTTTGCCAATCCCACTGAAAATGATGGAATCTAAACCTGACTGGCTAGCTAATCAAGCTATCAATACTAATGTTGATTGTTGATACAAGAAACAGTAATTTTTTGTAAGGTGAACTTATGTAAACCTTTGATGGATTTCTGTGTCAGTCATAGAGGATAGGCGAGGTAAGCCATTTCTTTCATGATCATGAACCATGTTCTCTGGAATAGCTTCAACCTTCGAGAACTTTCCTGAAACACAAAAAATGTTGAAGTTCAAGAAAGATATACATATGGGAATTTCGTATGGGAACTCCTACGTCTCGTCGGAGGAGTTTGCAACAAATTGGGATCATGCTAGGGAGACCAACTGCCTACGAGTGAATTAAAACGAGCCAATAAATATTGGCATGCGGGATTTGCATTCCGCGTCCCGCCTACCAATGTGGGTATAAAAGCGGAAGCGAACGCACAAACATTTTTCTATTAGCTTCGGAGCCGAACTAAGTATCCTCTGAGTGATGAGCTTCAAGATTATCTTTATCTTCATACTCAATAAGTCTGCTGTTTCTCTGAAGACCTCTCTGTGTAGGTGTGATTGATCGCTCCAGCGATCTTCGCGATCTCCCGGTTGCCAGCAGTTTCTACATGCGATCTGCCTTTTTTAAAAGAGCTGTTGTCACAGCAGGTAATCCGTTGAGTGCACGCAGTGGGCTTGCAGTTTCCCCGCTGTGTTGCCACGTTTGGTCCCTGTGTGCCTCGACACAATAAAGAGAGCGTTTTGCTCTGAAAGAGCAATAAGAGTGAAGTTCGCATCCTTTTCAGGATGACGTTTCACTCGTGTGTTTCTGGATGCGGTCAACTTCTGCCTCCGGCTGATGGTCACGATAGCTGTCTCACATGCTTGTAGGTTCTCTTCCAGTCTGACTGGAAAGGCCTACACTGCGTGTGGAGAGGCTGCCTCTGCCGTGCATGCCATGGAGCTCCTGCAGGTCCACCAGGCCCAGGTGCTCTGTGACATACAGGAGGGTAGTGCTGACCCAGGGGTGCTCCAAGAGTTGCGCACGGTGACGGAGACGAAAGTCACCGCACTCCTCCCATATCCCAGGGTGGCCTCTTCGCCGATGTGGTGGAGAACTTGCCCAACAGTTCTTCACCGCTCAGAAGCAGTTAGAGGTGATAAAACACATCATGCCTCGGAAGTGGGCAATGGCTGCCCCGCCTCCGGCTGCTTGTCCTCAAGGGCGCCTTCCTGCCGCCGCCTCCGCCCCTGGCCAGCCCAAGTAAGTGACCCTGAGACGGGCCACCCAGAGGACGTGGTGACTGCTCTTCAGGAGGGTGCCTCTGCACCTCTCCTTCCCCTGGAAGAGGGCAGGGTGAAGCCAAACTTGTCAATAAAAGAGCAGTTTCCATTTCCTCTGGGTCACCCATGGTCGAGACTACAGTCTAGGACAACACTCAATTGTCTCGTCACTCTCACACCGTGTCCTAACTACACGCGACGCGATAAAATTCCAGCGACAGCAAGTGTGTCTGTCCACACTAGAAGCGACGCGACTGTACGACGCCACACATTCAGAACAGCGTGTGAGCATGCACTGCTGGTCAGCACTCGCATTGGAAATGGGTAAGGACATAATCAAATCAAGAAGTAACATTATTAAAAATCAAAACATTAACAAAATATACACATTGACTCATTTTGTTATGAAGTTCAGTTGTATGTTTGCATAGAATTCATTTTGAACGCTATATTATATGCTTTCAAAATCTGAGGTAAATTATCCGTTATTGCTTGTGGCACAGTGACCTATTTTTAAGTAAAAATAAATAATGTGTACTCATAACCAGTGTAATTTCTTCATTCTGTCAGCCGCGACGTCGCAGAAATAGGAACCATTTCTAAATTAGAAACTTTGTGTGTCGCCGTTGCGTCTGGTTAGGACAAAAACTCTGATTAACATGGAAAAGATACCTTTTATCACGTTTCGCAGCGTCTCGTCGCGTGTATTTAGGACACGGTGTCAGTTTTCCTCCGTCCAAGAGTGCCCGAATGACAGTGTGTGCCGCCACGTTGCCTCGCCGCTCTCATTCCCCTTACCCCAGCGCTCAGATGCCAGTGCCATCTCTCGAAGCCTGGCTAGCACTTCCAAGACCGTCCAGGTGGCTCATTCGCACCATCCGGTTCAGCAATGCAATTCAGTTTTCCCGCCAGCCTCCCAGGTACAGGGGTGTCCTTCACCCAAGTGCGGAGTGGTGACGCCCCTGTCCTGAGGACAGAGATCGTTGCCCTGCTGGTGAAGGACACAATTGAGCTGGTCCCTCCAGCCGAGATGAGGTCTGGGTTTTACAGCCCTTAGTTCATTGTACCCAAGAAAGGCGGTGGGTTACGACCAAACCTGGATCTGCATGTTTTGAGCAGTTGCAAGCCGTACGCTTAGCCTTGTGCCGCCTCAAGGGGTTGCTTCGTCACAAGCAAGTACTGGTCCATTCGGACAGCACTGCGGCCGTAGCATACATCAATCATCAAGGTGGTCTACGCTCCCGTCTTATGTCGCGACTCGCCGCCATCTCCTTCTATGCAGTCAGAAGTTTCTGAGGTCGCTTCGTGCCGTTCACATCTCAACTGTGCTCACGGCAACTGCCCCATCCGGGAGAATGGCGACTCCATCCCCATCCCCAGGTGGTCCAGCTGATATGGCGAGTCTTCGGAGCCGCTCAGATTCGGAGCCTCTCCAGACACGATCCATTGCCAGTTGTTTTACTCCCTGACCGGAGGATCTCTCGACATGCATGCACTGGCACACAGCTGGCCCCGGAGCCTACGCAAATATGAGTATCCTCCATTGAGCCTTCTCGCACAGACACTGTGCAAAGTCAGGGAGGACGAGGAACAGATCTTTCTAGTTGTGCCGTACTGGCCCAACTGGACCTGGTTCCCAGAATTCATGCTCCTCATGACAGCACCTCCCTGGCCCATTCCTCTGAGGGAGGACCTGCTTTCTCAGAGACGGGGCACTCTATGGCACCTGCGTCCAGACCTGTGGAAACTCCATGTCTGGTCCCTGGATGGGACGCAGAGGTTCTAGATGGCCTACCACAGATGAGGCGCCTCTATGCATTGAAGTGGAACCTGTTTGTCTTTTGGTGCTCTTCCCGCCAGGAAGACCCCCAAACTTGCCCAATCAGTGTCGTGCTTTCTATCCTACAAGACGGGTTGGAGTGAAGGCCGTCTCCCTCCACACTCAAAGTGTATGTTGCCGCAATAGCTGCCCATCATGATATGATTGACGGGAAGTCGTTAGGGAAGCACAACCTGATCATCAGTTTCCTTAAGGGTGCTAGAAGGTTAAATCTTGGGACTTAGCCCAAATGCTGAGAGTGCTTCAGAGGCCCCTCTTTAAACCCTAAATGATATAGAGTAGAGGTTAGCCCACTGGCTAGTGCAGGTGTTCTCAAAGTTTTGATAGGTGAGGGCCAATTTAGGAACTCAACATTGAACTGAGGGCCGCCAATGGGGCGGGGGAGAAAAAGAAAAAAAAACTGAATAGAAAATCCCATTTGAAAAATTTTTATGACCAAGTTGTATCTCTACAGTTTACATTAGTTGCAATAAATGCAACTGAGGCTAAACCTGGCAAAACTTGTGAAAATCTTGAGAGAGATTATTCATATCTATCATTGCTTGTCAGTCGCGTTCCCATTATTGCAGATTTGCATATTATTATCTATCTTTTTTAACCCGTAACTGAAAAACGAAAAATTAATGGTTGTTGTTTTTTTAAAACGCAAAGTTGAACACAATTTTAATTTGAACTGCCTACACCAACTGCTGCGCAAAAACAGTAAATATCGACAGACTTTTCAGATTTTTGTTTAAATGACTTTTTATTAAACATTTTAAATACTCACAAATTAATATGGAAAACACGTCGATTTTACTGGTTTTATAAGGCCAAATTAGAACCTGGAATTTATATTTTTTTCCGCAGTGATGAATGAGAAGAGCCATAGCCTGTGTCTGATCTAGCCTGATTTATAGGTGAGTTAGGCTAATGATAGGCTAATGATAATAGGCTGATAATAAATAATGATAATAAATGCGTCTGAAAAAACATCGAGGCATTTTAATTGTTTATTGATAAACTATTGTTTTCTAAGTGTCAGCTAAAAACATATCTCCATCTTCACTGTTAAGAAGATGCGCTTTTAGAGAGAAATGCACCTTTCATACGGATTACATAATCAGGTATTTGCTTTCGATTCGAGTTTGTTCGTTTTAAAGTGGACGTTTCAAGCTTTAACTTAAATAGGCTATATTTTGTTTCAGTTCTCGCGCTCCAGTTCACGGAGATCATGAAAGCGTTTAGCTTACTGATTGTTTTATTTTATTTTACAAAAACACAACATTTTCTTGTTATTATGAGTTTACACAAATAAAAGTTGTGCAAATAATGCATTATTATTTTCTGTATGACCAGAAATGATAGACTATATTAAAGGAGTGATGAAATCAAATTTTCCTTGAGCTTTTGATATCTAAGAGGTTATCATATTATAAGAATATCCTGTAAGTTTCAGAACTGAAAACGAACTTGTTAGTCCAATAAAAGCTTTTATTTACACCAGCCTCTGAAAACATCTCGTTTTGAAAAGGGGGAAACTATGACGTCGAAGGGGTTAAAACACCACCCCCGCAGAAAAAGATCAACACCTACTTCAACAGCCGGTTTAGCCCCGCCCACCGATTCGCGCATTACACGCATAGCTAAGTAGCCTAACATACATGCCTACCTCGTGATGACAAACCGGATCGATCTAACGAGCAATACAGAATATTGTGTGCAGTGCCTGGTTGTGGAAGAAAACAGTCGCTGCATAAGCTTCCTCTGGATTCCAATAGGACTTCATGGATAAACTTTATTTTTAATGACGTTCCAACTGATGAGGTAAAACATCGTCGTCTGTTCACTTCATTTCACTGAGGATTGTTTTGTAAACAAGATTGGATTTGCAGACCGATTAAGAGTAAAGAACGTGCTGTGCCGTCTATATTGGATCTGACAGGAATTGTGCAACACAAGGACCCTTGGTTGAACATGTATGGGTGAATCCGGTTGCCATTTGACAACATTGGGCGTTTTCCCCCACATACACCGACGGGTGAGTTAAACTCATTATAATATGCAAAACTTTTATCCACTCACAGCAGTGGGCGTTTATTTCCAAGTCTTCAGTGCGACACGCCCATAAAAACCGACCGTTTTTCAGGAAGGCTCACAACTTGGCTACACAATAGCCTATTACTTATTCATTCTGATGTTTTTGAATGCAAAAACCAAGCGAACGTCTTAAGTTGACCTCAGACAACAATATAATAACATTTTAAAAGCCAGTTCATGACCCCTTTAAGTTGTTTCCACTGTTGATAGGAAAATGCAAGTGTTCGTGCCCATCAAAATTTTTAAAGGTAATGAAAATGCGGCTATTAATAAGCTTGACATTAAGACTTAAGACATTAAGACTGAATATTGATTACTTGGTCAACATACCCTTTTAAATTGCAATGGGATTTGTGATGCTGGTTTCGGTTGGCCACGATTCCTATTCCTGTTTAGACAACCACTGTTCCGTTTATGGCCTTGGGAGTGAGGTCAAATGAAATTGGTCTGTCGGACCATGTAATTACCACGTATGCCTATAGATGCCGCTAAACACCACTAAACGGAGATATTCATTTTTTCAAACAACGTACAGTTTTAACAGTTTTACAGATGTTATCAGACGTTATCACGGGCCGCCAGAAATGTTTTGGCGGGCCGCCATTGGCCCGCGGGTCACACTTTGAGAACCTATGGGTTAGTGGATGCTATCGTCCAGGCTTATGAATCCCAGGACGTGCCTTGCCCATCCAGGTTGATGGCTCAGTCCACTAGGAGTGTCGCTTCCTCCTGGGCGCTGGCACAAGTCGCCTCTGGGTGACACCTAATCGCTGGGTGACACCTAACACGTTTGCCCGGTTTTATAGCTTATGTGTTGAACCGGTTTCTTCCCGTTTACTCGCTATGGCCAGTAGCGCAAGGCAATAGGTTCTGTCGGCTTGCTGTGCCACTCCCGCCTTATGACCTGGATCCATGTGCTTTTTTGCTCTGTTGGTTCCCCGAAGAAACGGCTAACCTCTTGAGTTCCTCCATCACACTCCGGCACCAGGCAAGGCGGATCGCCCAGTGCCAGGTCTATTACCTCTCATAAGAAGTTGTTTATAAACTGGGTTACCTTCACGGTGGTTTCCACATGACCACTCTCCATGTTCCAGCTACCCTACGGGCTAACTCCGTGTCTTCCCCTCGACAGATTCATTCTGTCGTCCTTGCTGAGTACGCTCCCAACCTACGGGATGGGACTACTTCTAGGACTCCTGTATGTTTCACTACCCTACGGGCTTGTACATATGTGTATTCCAGTGCCTAGCTTCGGGCGGACCAGGGGCTCCGCAACGTTCCCTCCTACAGATTGGGCACGTTTCCCCAGTGTTATCCAAATCCACTGAGCTGGTCTTGCAGAACAGCAGTGTGATTTCTTCCTAGCTAGCTCCCACCCTAAAGAAACTAAGAAACTGCTAGGCAGGTAGCTCAGCTGGGTGCTGGAAGGGGCAAGCACCATGGCGTTTTATTTGGGATCCCAATTCATTGGAAAATCCTCTGACGAGACGTAGGAGTTCCCATACGAAAGGGAACGTCTCGGTTACGTATGGAAACCCTCGTTCCCCGAGTAGGGAATGGAGACGTCTCGTCCCGTCGCCATGTTTGCTGTACCTTCGCGGAGGACTGGACACTTTCCGGCTCCTCAGCGTAAAGCAAAATGTGTGTGTTTTGGCTTCCGCTTTTATACCCGCATTGGTAGGCGGGACGCGGAATGCAAATCCAGCATGCCAATATTTATTGGCTCGTTTTAATTCCCTAGAAAGCAGTTGGTCTCCCTAGCGTGATCCCAATTCGTTGGAAACTCCTCTGACGAGATGTCTCCTTTCTCTACTCAGGGAACGAGGGTTACCATACGTAACTGAGATGTTTGAATTATTATTTTTACAATTAATTAACAGGTCTAATTTGGTTATTTATGGTAAGGGTAATTTTACAGGTCTAATTTGGTTTATTATGGTTTATTTTTGGTTCATTTTTGATTTATCAAAAGTTACTTAACCTAAAGACATTTCTCACCATTCAGGACAATTAGAACCTTCTTCCACTGTGTGTTTCCAACTTTGGGTGTCTGACAGAAGAGAATCTTGTGCTTGTCACACACAAAAATGCGGTCCAAGACAAACTTGCGCACAGTTGTGTGGGTGAGGTTCCAAAGAGATGAATTTCTGCAAACAGTTGTTAACAGCTCCAAACGCTTCTCATTCACTGACTGCCAGTCTATGGGCTCCACCACAGAGGGACTAACTGAGGACTAATAGTCACAACACACATGCACATATACATGACACCCAAAAACAGATAATATATAACTCTTAAAAATTCAAGTAGTTTTTGAATAAAGCAAATAAGTGAACACAGGCAAACTGACTCACCAATATAAATGGCTGTGATGCTCCCTTGTCTGGCCACTGGACAGAAGGATGTTTCGTTGTAAAAGATGGCATGGCCCAAACAAACATGTCTGTCCTTCCTACAAAGTCTGGAAATATATTGAGGGGAAACTTTCAGAGTGCCTTATGGGCAGTGAATATAAAATGTATGTTGTGGGACTTTTTAAATGACAAATGCAATATAGCTAGACACTTTTAACCAATTTCACTACATGAAAATGCTGACATAATGTGATACACATACCACCTGGTATTCTGAAGCTGAAGTTGATGAACTTGGTGACGAACATAAGGATGAGTAGCACCCAGCCACAAGCACCAACCAGCAACCAATGACGACGCATTATTAGCACATCGACAGGCAAAAAAAAAAAAAAGTCCTACAATAAAAACATATTTGGGTTGAGAATATAAAGAGTAACTATGTCATCTTTTTGATGTAAAAAACAAAACAAAAAAAAAACTTATTTTGGGGATGGATTCTGGGAAATCTCCCTTATTTTCAATGTTCAATGTTGACAGCTAATGGACTGGATACGGTAAAAGTTTAATATATCAACTTGCTCCGCTGACTACGTCACCTTCTTCGTTGCTCTGATAGGTTGTAGCGCTATCCAATTGTGTGCAGAGAGAATTTGAAAGACCACCGTTTATCCCGCCCCTCGGATTGAGCCCTGTCAATGAAGAGTTCGCAGACCAAACAGCTTGATGTAGCCAGGCTACTGTACATTTTATATATATATATATATATATATATACTGTATATATATATATATATATATATATATATATATATAAATTCTTAAAGCTACAATCCGGCATTTTTCCTCTTTGTCGCCATCTGTGTTCAAAATCTGCAATTGCAGTCATTCGCGAATTATCAACTTTTTATGTGAGTTGTACTGCAACACCGCACACAACACCGAACACAGCGCATAAGAACACATTGTTTGAGGAGACTGTGAGGCTGTCAGTCACCGTGCCAGTGTGGATACTGGCATTCACAATCACAGATTATTCTTTTTTGGAAGTATGACCAACATAAGAATTTTCACCAGAAAATGTCATCTGAACTGTAAGAAACATCCACCTTTGTTGTGGTTCTGACATTGCAGTAAATCGCACTAATTAAATCTAACAGTCGCTTATAAGTTATCATATCACGCAAAACTGTGCAAATTATACTTCTCAAATTGTTAATGTTAACAACGTCAGAATTGAGTGACTACATGTAATGTCCTTCCAATATATAGCTATCCTTGTTTTCGCATGGGCTGGTTGCAGTCTCTTTTGTCTGTAGCCACTCCGAAGTCCGAACAAAGTCTTTTGCATTTTAAAGCAGGTGAATCTGTTGTCACTGGTGATTGTCGTTTGAACCATTCCGGATCCGCCATCAAATTGCTAAGTTTAATTATATCAAGTGCAGTGAGAAAAGGCTATAAATCTCCACCTCCAGCATCCTCACACACATTATAGCTTACTAGCCGAGACTACTTTATGTGTACAGATGTGACGTAATGACGCAAAGACGTACTCAAATCTCCAGCGGAAACCCACCAGTACCACTGGAATTTAAAACATTATTACAAGCTTACCGTTTTGAATCGAGCTAAGGCTAGCAGATAGTTTTGAACACTGACTGGTTATGAATTTTCTCAAATATTTATTTTGGATCATTTTTAACCCAAAAAAGCTACGGACTGCAGCTTTAAATATATACATCATGTTTATGTATTTATCTACAAAATAATTATACACAGTACACAGACATATATTATGTAAACACAAACTTTTTTTTGGGGGGGGGGGGGGTGGGTGATTAATTGTTGCCCAACACTAATTTTAAGTTATTCAAATGTATTTTCTTTGATTTAGCATTACAGTATATCACACTGGGTGCTTCTCACCAGCTCTGTGAAGCAACAGAGGTCAACCAGGAAGATCTGCATGTATCCAGCCACGCCCAAAGCCTCATCCTCCTCTTTGGCACACTTATTTCAGACTTATCAGTTGCATTCTTGTCTCTGTGATTAAGACAAGCAAGTGTAAGTTTTTAACTATAGTTATTTTTTATTACTTATAAAAACTGTAGCCTCTGGCTTGGTGACACTTAATTTTATTTTCTTTTTTTTTTATTGCAAGTTAACAAAACATTATAATTTATACAAAAATAAGAGATCAGTGAATTATGTATACATACAAAAGAGAGAAAGACGTACATGGAGTACATACAAGGTAGGCAGAACAAAAGTAAGCAAAAGAAAAGAAAAAAAGGAAAAGAAAAACAGAGACAAAAACATGTATGCAAGTACATTGCAGTGTTTCCGCTACATTCATTCTCCCGTGGCGGGCCGCCACACTTAAAATCCTCCCGCCACGGCTGCAGCTTCTCAGTGACATCCGATATTCTGCATAGTAGCCTATTGTGTTATTTTGTTAAGCCCCACTAAAGGCATAAAACTTGTAAAGCACAATCAAGTTTTTACACTATATTCCAAGACTTCTAAAGTCATTCAATAGCATAATGTGTGGTAAAATTAACATTTTAGTCGCTAAGTTTGTTACAGGACAACTCCGGCGAACAATGAACCTTTGGTCTAATAAAACATCGGTACATAGTCAACCGTTCTCTGAGATTTGTTTTCATGATAATCGAATGTAAAGAGTTTTATCTCTAAAAACTGTTTAGCGTATAATGCTAGTAATGGGGGCATTGACTAAGTAAAAAGAAATCGCTAGTTTATACCACTAACAAGGCTCAAAATAGTCCCACACTAACGCAGTAACATAATGAGGCTCCATACATGCAAAACGAAGCATTGAGAACTTTTTAAGTGTACAGACCGTTTAATAAGAAGATACTTTATGAAGACAGTTCACTTCGTGTATACAGACAGGAGCCATCTTAAAAAATAGTCTCGATAAGTCAAACCACGAACGTCGTGCTGAGTGATCTGAACTGCATGAAGTTCAGCGAACTTCTGAACTGTATGTACGGCGTTCGGGGATTATCGAGACTATTTTTAAATAAAATAAAGGGCACCTATTATGGAAAATTCACCTTTACATGGTGTTTGAACATAAATGTCTGTTGGCAGTGTATGATCAAAACCACCCTGAATGATAAAAATCCAGCCAGTGTTTTTTTTACAATCTCAATAAATCATATGCACTGTCTCAGAACGAGCTGTTCTAAGATACAGCGCTTTGTGACGAAGAATTGAGCAAGGGGTTTGATTGACAGCAGGGGCGCAACTACCCAGTTTCAGAGGGGTATGCAGCAACAATTTTAGCCAATTTTATGGGCCGCCGATGTATGAGTTTTGTGGGCCGTTAAGACAAATAAATTAAAAAAGGAAAAGCACGTCGGCCCAGCGGGAATCTCCCGGTAGTCCCGATGGCCACCGAGATATAGATAGCCTATGCCTGGATGTCACATTTTAAATCCTACCTGTTGGCTTTCAGCAATGCATGCAGTTATTTAGCTGCTGTTGCATCAATTGACATGCCATCTCCTTTTCTCTCTTTCTTTTTCTATTTTTAGCCCCACAGCATTTTGTTTTATCCATCTTTTTCGACGACAACTAACTACTCGTACCTGCTCGCTCAGCGCTCACGGCGCCCCCGCCCGCTCGCGATATTACCCGCCCCCCTTCTCCATGAGGGCGCCTACTCTAGCCTGGCTGTTAGTCCTCTAAAATTTTATATAACATTGAAGGAATGCAGAAATGATTTAGAAACGGACAACGGCAGCTACATATAGAAATACAATATAGCCTATATATAATTTTTTTTTTATTTATTTTTTTTTTACCATCGCTTTGGCGCCCCCCATTGTGCTGCGCCCCTATGCGCCGCATATAGCGCATACCCACTTTTTGCGCCACTGATTGACAGTGTGGTTGTGGCATAGACCCCGCCCTCGGTGATCTGTACACCATCCTCCATTGTTTCAACGACAGTCGGTAATGTCTCTTGGAAACATAAATGTTCTGTCGTGGGTTAATCCTGTAGTCGTGGCTTAAAAGTTAAACCTCAAGTGTGGATCGTCATCTACTGCTTGCGATCCATCGACACCTCCAGTTACAGTAAGTGTATTTTATGATTTTTGAGCAAATAGTCTTTTCAGTTGATGTCAGCCAATTCAACAACAAATGCGTCTAAAGTTGTTGTTGTCGTAGGATGTCTGTGTATATAATTTAAACCTTGTTTGTATAGTGTGTAACCACACATTTATAAATATATATTTTTAAAGATATTGTATTAAAAACTGCATATATGTTGTTGTTCTGTAAGTTAGCTATCTTCTCACATTTGCCACAGAAGCACCTGTATGACAAGTAAACATGACGCGACAGGTCCCTCGCATAAATGTAATTTCGCTTGTACGTAGCAAATTTTATCACAGTATGTGTTTGTAGTTTCAAAAAATTGCGCCAGAGTTACGTGTCTCTGTGTGTGTGTGTGTCTGTGTGTGTGTTGCACATCCATAATTGCAAAGGGGACGCGATTACAACTCTATAAGTACATAAATGTATCAAATAACCATACCAAGACATACTTGTCCATTCTCATTTGTGTTTATTCTGCCGGAGTGTCTTCGTAGTATTTATATATTTCGATTCAAACGTACGCTGAATGACATTCAAAACAGCGGTTTCTCTCACTCTCTCAGCCCTTCTGCTTACCGACTGTCATAGGTATCAAGTTACGCCCTCATCCAAAGGCAGGGCGGGAATATGCAGCTCATTTGCATTTAAGGGCGTATACACCAAAACAGCTCATTTTTAAACAGGCCCCAAAAATGACATTTTCAAATGGTTATAATAAATTAACTGTGGGGTATTTTGAGCTGAAACTTCACAAATACATTCTGGGGACACCCGAGACCAATATTACATCTAGTAAAAAGGGGCATAGGCGCCCTTTAAAGGCATATGGACTGAAACGGCTTGCTGAAAACAGAGCTGATTTTGACCAGGTAAAATGTTGTTTTCTTAAAATACTAATGAGAATTTTTAATAAAAGTTTATTACAAAGTTTTAATTTAGACCCTAAACATTAATATTAACTTACAAGTACAAAAATGGCATTATATGACCCCTTAAATGAACGAGTCATGGACTGTTCATTCGTTCAAAATGGTGAATCATTCAGTAATGAGAAAAAACATTGCTTTGAGATGCTGTAACGTACGGACAGAGACAGTCAGATCCATGCGCAGAACTTTATTATAGCTTGAAACACAAGCAGACATAAACTCAGGCAAACAGTTAAAAAAGGGGCAATAAAGTAAATCGTGGTGAAAAACAGGCTATGGTTGAGGCAGGCAGCACAGGTTTACACCTGGCCACTTCATGCGTTTATTTTGATCGTATAGCTATCCGATCGTGAAAAGACCAGGTGTTAATGCCCCCGAAACGCATCTGAGACGCATTTGAATCCGATCGCTCAAACCACTTCAGGAGGTGGTCTGGGCCGCAGTACAGACGAAACTGGACAAGTGTAAATGCATCTAGTTGTTGAAACCACATATGTAAATTTTACTCCTCCCAAAAATGCTAAAAAATAGACATGTGAGAGCGTGTTATAGGCTATATATCATGTTATTTTAGTCATATATGACGACGTTACTGCGACACGCATCACCTCAGATGAGCAGCTGAACGCCTATCAAGCCAACACGCCGCAATCATTTGCAAATCAAAGTGAAAGTAATTAAAGGTGCTGTATGCAACGTTTAGCGACCTCTAGCGGTGATGTTTCAGAATGCAACAAGAGCGCTCGTGCTCGTGCTCAATCTCAAGAGCGAGCAATCATTCACTACCAGCCACACGGAGACTTTCAACGCAACACGAAATTATCACACATGCTGGAAACTAATGTAAACTCCCACTGCAGGTACAATAATAGCCTACTTTTATCAGCTTGACGTTGAAGTAATGCTCTGTGCTCGTACCATGGTCATAATGTTACAATAAACTGCATTTAACTATTCGTGTATCTTTCACAATCAGCAATGTCAACATAGGTGAATGTATAATATGATAATGAAAACGGTTAGTGAACTAAACTGAACAGTTTCAGTGTTTCAGTAAGATCGTAGGAAGTAACAATACTGTACTGAACGCGTCTGGAAATGTGTATAAACAATATGGTAGTGGGATGACGACATTAGTCAGTACGTTAGATCTAGTAAATAAAATAAGTTACATACTAAATGTTATACTAATGTTATCCTGGAACATTATTTTGTATTCATGTAATGTTGTAGTTTACCTTGTTATTTCACTTGAGTTTACTATGTTGATCCGCGTTTTCGTCCGGAGTCGATCAGATTCACGTTTTGCCTGACGAGCTTGAGCAGATAAAACTTTTTTTGTTTTTTATATTTATGTGGAGTTTGTGTTGGAGTCTGTGTTGTGCTGGAGGCAGGACGTTTTGGGGGGTTATCAGACTCCATGTCGTCAGCTGAAGTGCTGTTGTTCGCATGATAGACTGTAGGATAGAGAGGCTCGGGACTCGGGAGCGCGCATGCACGTCACTTCTGATGGATTTCGCAGGAAATCCGACCCGGAGACCTCGCATATAAATAAGAATATTGGCCTTCAGAGGTAATGGCAAAACCCGAAAAGTGGATCATTGCAATGTGTGATTACAACCCCTTCAAACACAGGCAATAAAAAAAGGATTCATTTTATAAAAATAGTTACATATAGAACCTTTAAGTCGCAGACGCTTAACACTACCATCTTCATTAAAAGTAGCCTAAATAAACTAAATAATCTTACCAGGACTGTTGCCGCTCTCTTATTGCTGTCTTTGCTGATTTTGAAATTAGCCGATGATCAATAAAATTCAGCTCATATCTATTGCTTTCGGTGACGTGCACTTCTTTAAATCTGTATAGCGCGGGAATTGAAGACCGGACTTATATCCATTTTGCAAAAACACATTTATGTGGCCAGGTGTAAATGGAATCGTTTTGAGAAATCCGATATCTATCCGATCTGAGAAAACGCAT